TTATTGAAGTGCCAATATTCAGGTCTCAATGCCCATTTTTCCCTTCCAACGTCAGTTGCATAAAGCAAGCTCATTCCTGGATCAAACAGCCAATTTTGAGATTCCAGTTTCTTCTTCACCCACTTTGTTGTTGCATTTGGATTCTTGTTGGTTTTAATGGCTAGTGCATGTACGCTCAGGTGTAGAGTTTTACTTTACAAAACTCTACTAAGTCTGAGCCACACTAGCCATGGAAACCTTAAATATGTTGCAGCCATGCAGCCCTCCCCCTTACATTTTGCTGTCACTCTTCTACTATCATTCTTGATCATCCTTATTATGAACCCTCCCCTAACAGCATAATCCCTTAAAGCTTCCCCTACAACTATCAACACTTAAGAATGCATGCCCAACTCTGAATTCAATATCACCTTCAATTGGTGTTTCAAATATATTGTCATATATTTTCGTCCAAGGATCGCGTGTTTTCTTTTTAGGTCTTCTCCTTATTGGTGCATCAACCTCCATGTCACTACTTGCAGCTGACTGTTCCTTGTCAGTATCAACATCACTGAGACCAGCATCAACATCATCATTGAAGTCAACTTCCTCTTTTGGATCTATTTCCATTCCCTTAGGTGTTTCAGATTCACTACTCTCATCTTCAGTATCAGAAAAGACATAGTCATCATCTGTGGACTGGCTATCAACAACAGTTTTTGTTTCTCCCCCCTCCCACTCCAATGGTTATTGTTGTTGTACCCTATTTCTAAAGTTGTAAGAGGCTCCAACTGCAATTGCTCTTTTCCCCTTCCTGTTGTCCCTATTCACATTGGCCTCATGAACATTTGCCCTTCCTCTACATCGCCCTCTCCCCCTCCCTTTACCCCTGCCTAACTCGTTTACATAGCCTGAATACTCAGTGTTGTCAGCCAACACAATATCCCACATCTGTGATCCTATCAACATTTCTGCCCCCTTCCCCCTACCACTACCTGTACCCTCTGTATTTCCAATCCCAGCACCTCTTGCTCAATAATGATCACATCTCCTCACATCTCCAACATCCCCACTTATCTCAGTTTGTGACCCAATATTACTTTCTGCCTCCCCAACACCATTGCCTGGAACTTCCCTATTAGGCTGCAAACTTTCATTATGTAAACCCATATTATTTGCCACCTGACTGTGAAACACATTTGGCATAACAACACTCGGTTCACCTTGCTTCCTAAACAAATTCAGTTCAATATAATCAGTGTCCTTGAATCTTTCAAACATTAATGTCACGTCTGCATCGTTCTCTATTCTATAATTTTCAGAACATGTAATATCCACATTCCCATCTTTTATCTTGTGAATGTAAGAGAACAATGTAACTCATTCTGTCAGGTTGTGCATCATACAAATACACTGTATCCCCTTCATATATGACCCCAATGGTGTAACTTTCAGGCAAAGTCATCAAATTCAAGTTTTCCTACATTGTAATTTAACACATGTGTTACAAAAAAGGCTAAACCGTTTGCAAAAATCCTAAATACATTATCATTACACACAAAAGAACTCATAAGCATTTCAATATACCAAAAATCATCATCATAAACATCCTCAATAATATTGATTTTCAATTTTTTTTTAAGCAAAAACTGAAGTGGGTCTGAGTTTGTGGTATTTACCTCAAAACGAAGCTTTAAGATTGTGATTGCATGCAAACGAAGCACTACATGCTACGACCACTCATCTCGTTTCGTCAATAAACATCATTTTCTTCAAAAATTCTTCAACACGTGCACTGGAGATGAAGACGTTTTTTGCGTGAGAGAGTTGGGAGAATAGCAGTCTGACCTTTCGTTTTCCTCGCTTGGAAGGTCATACTGGTCCACGTCAGCGAGGGAGGGGTGTTTTAGTATTTTAGTCTTCAATTAACGGCAAAGTATTTTAGTCTTCAATTAACGGCAAAAAACCAACTTTTCGGACGGAAGAACCTTTTAATTAGACGGAGTTAAATGTCGGGGACTAGTTATATATTAGCTTAAATTTCGGGGATTAGTTAGATAATTATGTAAAACCTGAGGGACTAAATAATAATTTTCCCATATATTTAACAACCAATTACATTGTAGAAAGATAAATTAAAATTTTAAAAATTTCTAAAAAATAAAAATAGAAAATTGAATGGAGAAAGAGGGTCGAATTTTTTCTTTGTTTAGTTTTTATATAGATATATAGATAATGAAATAGACTCAAAATAAAGTTTAACCCAATCCCTAAACTTAATCCTTCAGTTCTTAATTTATACATGTAAATTCTTAAAATCTTAATAGATGCCCAAAAAGAAAATCAAGCATCACTCGATCCCCAACCCCTACCCTTAACCTCAAAAGTAATAACTATATATGGTCATAATAAAAAATAATAATAAATGAGAAGGTGATCTGAATTGATAATAGTAATTATTTTGGCTATAATAGTAGTATTGCTTACTTGATGCATTAGAAAAAGGAATATATTCGAGTCCACACAAATTCTTGAAACCCAATAAGTTCTAGTTTTTTTCCGGTTTCTTAAATATTATTTTCTTTTAAGGTAAACAGATATAAGAGAAAAAAAATATCAAGAAAACTAAAAGTATTTAATTATCAAGAGGCCATCTGTTATTTACTAAATTAAAGTGATAGTAGTTACAAACTAATTCAGAAATTAAAAAAATTATTATTAAGAATAAAACTCTTTGCATAACTCAACATATAACAATAAAAAATTATATTAAACATTTACCAATTTGAATTTTAAAAATCAACTCATTCTTCAACTGATGGAACCGTAATTTAATGAAATTTGATGTTGATAGATAAAAAAAAAAAAAAAACTAAAGCCAAGTCAATAAAAAGAAATTACAAAATAAATCATGCTAGAATCCAATATCGGTCAGTTAATGAGTTTATTCAAGTATTATATTTTGTTCTAAATTGCAAATTTTAAATAAATAAATAAGTTAATTAATTAATTACAAAAATTACATATATAAACATTCTATCCTCTTCAAATACACCTTCAATTTTCTCTATAACTATACAGAAAAAAATTTTCTACAATCATTCTCTAGTTTTTTTACTTGTTATTTATACTCATATTTGTTTTTTATATTAACTATTGATTATAATTTTTGTCTTATATTATTTAGATTTTTATAATGTTAAAACAACATTTAATTAATAACATTTAGACAAAATAAAGTGATAATTTATTTGATTAAGAACAAAATAAAGTGCATAAATTTATTTTGATTATTTTTTATAAAATTATTAATTAATAACATTTAGACAAAATAAAGTGATAATTTATTTGATTATTTTATAAAATTAATTAATTTTATTCTTATATGAGTATGAGTATTCTACAATTTATTTAAAATAAAATTTATCGATATTTTTTAAATGCATTTTAATATTTTTAAAACAAAAATGTAATATTAGAATTTTTTTTTAAAAAAACATATATTGTCAGAAATCATGATTGGAATTAAAAATAAAAATCTTAATTTTAAAATTATATATTTATACTTACGTTGTTTTGAAACTTTTAATTTTTTTTAGCAAAAAACAAAAATCTTCAACCAATTGAAGTAAGACCAATTTCATATTACGCATAAAAATAAATTTGCAATTTTTAAATATACTGTTACTATCGTGAGTAAGGATAGTCTATTTTTGTTTAATGAATTTATTTTTTTTTCTTTTCAAAGTTCATTCCTTTTTGTTTTTTTTAATAAAGTCTATCAACTAAAAAAGGAGAAAGATATTTTCTATGGTTAAGTTTTGAATAAAAAAAATACATAGTAATTATTAGTGTTATCAATCAAAATAAATAACAACAACATTATTTAAACAATGTTTTATAACCGCCCGTGAAGCACGGATTTACGACTAATTGAATAATTATGTATAATATTAACTATTTATCCAAGTAAAGACGGAAGATAACAATATGAAAGGAAAATTTCTATAATAATACTCTAGAATAATATGAGATATTTCAATATCATATATATTAATCCTATAAACTTACATTTATGACACTTATACATTGCCACAAATTATGCAATAATTCATGCTAAAAATAAAAATGACAAGAATTTTAATTATTGTTAAACTCTCAGAAATCGAAGAGTAAGTATTTTTGTGAATTAGCTTTCTGTCCATCGTTATTATCGCCATTAATATAAATTACATCTTGAGCAATACTAAACAATCTCAAAACATGTTAATATTGATTTAGTGAAAAACAAATTTAATTATTGAGAATGCCTAGTTAAAAATCATCATAAACCAATTCCTAAATCATGTTCCGAGATTGAAACGTCTTCGTTTTAACACAAGTTTTAATTGCTATTCATGAGATTATGTCTTAAATTTGATGAATGGCTGTTAATAAAATGGTCACATTTAACTGCCACTACCTTTATCATTATCTTGTTATTATTCAAAATGTATATTTTTTATTTTTGTTATTTACAAAATGTTATTTTAATTATTTTCCCTTAAATGAAAGTTTACATATGTTATTATAATAAATAAATAAATAAATAAAAGAAAACATGTAATATAAAAATAAGTGAAGTTAAAATGGTAAGTTTACAAAAATAACATTTTCTTTTTTTTTTTTAAATTTCCCTTTTATCCAAACATAAAGAGTAATAACAACTAATAAAGGAAATAAAATTAATTATTCTACCTTATTTTCAAAATTTATTTTACTTATTTTATTATTTTCCTTCTTCCTTGCTCCTAATTCCAAACACAGGATTAAAGGTTTTAGAAATAGAACTTTTGACACGTAAACAATGGCCGGTTGGGGGGGAAAATAAAAAACAGACCTGGGTCCAATAGGGTTATGAAGCTACAAAATCTTTCGTCGTTTCGTGCTTTAACGGGTTTAACCCAAACCCTTAACTATCCGGGTCGAACATCCAATTCGGTTCAAGTTCAATATACGCTCCCATCAAAACAGTCAATCGCCGCGCTTAAACCCTGAAAACATTTTGTCTCTGCAGATGTTCTCTTTCTCTTTCTCTTCTTCTGCGTCTCTCTGTGATCTTCATCTACATTCAAAGGGATTGCCATTCAGTTAACAACTTCAATTTATATAGAAAAGAAACGATCTTTTTTGACATAGCTATTGAAGTATAACAGTAAATAACAAAGCGAAATGCTCGAAGCTGCATATAGAAACAGCTCAATAGAGTGGAACCCATCTCCAGTTATAGCCTTAGCCACCAGCATAGACGAGTCTCAAGTTGCTGCGGCTCGTGATGACGGCTCGCTTGAGATATGGCTTGTTTCTCCTGGTTCCGTTGGTTGGCACTGTCAGCTGGTAATTTAATTCTTTGTAATGGAAACTCTTTTTTTTTTTTTTTTTTCTATCTCCCGCAGTTTACTCACGCGGCCCTTAGATGCCCAGCCTAGCATTCAATCCTCGTCATACCAGTAGTTGCTGTCACACACTATTGGCTAAGGCGCGCCGTAGTCTCTCCCGATAATATGACTCGGGGCGCTCGCTTGATATATGCTTGCTTCTTACTCCTGGTTCCGATTTGGTTGGCCCGGTCACTTAAATGTCAAGCTCACATAGGTTTAGAACCATTAAGCGTCCTTTGTAATCTGCTGAAACTCCTTCTTTATTTTTTTTTCTTTTTTCTTCAATTCTGTCTATCATTTCTGTCTTCTTCGTCCCATATTACTCGAAATGATCCATGGCGAGGCTCTGACTTTTGGTCTTACGGAGGGCTCGTTCATCCCCAATTCCTGACGAAGGTGCATCTCTAAAGATTTCAAATACGAGTTTATCGTTCACTGTGGCCTGCTCACAACAGGGGTCTTGGATGTGTTGTCTTCCACACCACTAGGGCGGGGCTGTCGATGGCTCACAAGATGGGAAGCTCGTTGTAGGTATTTTCGTCATACGAGTGTATTGTTGACGTGCCGCGTATCAGTTTACTGATTTTTGAAGAGGAGAGATCGTTCTTCATAACTAACTGATAGGCAGGAAGGTACAATTTTCCGCTTTTGTTATATAAATCTTTGTTTGCATTATGTATGTATTATCAGTTTAAATTAGGTGTAATTCTAGGCTGCAGTAGTAGGGATGGACACAGCATAATATGTGTTGAGTCTACTTTTAACTTGGGAGAAGTGAGGACGAGGACCCTTGGGAGAGTTTATTTCTCTCTATCACATATTAATTAAACGAGTTTTCTAACAATAATTACTTTTAGACATTATGTATATCATTAGGGATATCTGATAGGGAACTTCCAGTCCTCGATGAATCAACGAGTATTATCATGTGGCGAGGGAATCAGGGATCCGCTATATAATGGAAACTCTTTTTTTTTTTTTTTTTATTGTTAATTGTTTCTTGTATTGATGATTTCGGTTGATTTTGTAGACTATACATGGGGACTCTAATTCAAGAGTTTCTTCACTTGCCTGGTGTCTTGTTGGTTCCAAAGGGTTGGCCAGTGGAAGGTTGTTTTCGTCAAGTATTGATGGTTCAGTTTCTGAGTGGGATCTTTTTAACTTGAAGCAGAAGGTACAATTTTCCTTTTTATTATTTTGTTTGCATTTAGTTTTAGTTTAAATTAGTGTAAATTCTAGGCTGCAGTAGTAGAGCAATGTTATTTTTTTGAGATTGAAGACCCTTAGTTAACCAAATTAAAAGTTTTAATAATTACTTTTCTTTGTATGGTTGTAGACTGTCCTCGAGTCGATTGGGGTGTCAATTTGGCAGATGGCTGTGGCACCGTCTAGTAATATGCCAATTCAAAAGGATCTTGATACCAAAAAACTTAGAAATGGGTTTTTAAATGATAAGCAGAATGAGATTGATGATTCTCAATCCAGTGAAAGTGAAGATGATTCAGACTCGGATGAACTTCATGAGCAACCTGTTGTTGCAGATCCACATGTAGCAATTGCTTGCGATGATGGTTGTGTGCGGATATATACTATTTCTGACGTAGATGAGTTAATATACAATAAAACGTTGCCCAGGGTCAGTGGTGAGACCTCTTTGCCTCTCTGACTGCTCTTTTCGTGTTGTTTTCCCTTTGAGGAGCTTTTTACTTATATAATTATTTGCAGGGCGCATTTTAAGTGTTACATGGAGTTCTGATTCAAGTAAGATATATTCTGGGAGTAGTGATGGGTGAGAGTTTTCTTTTTTTGTCAGATTGATTGTGTCCATTTGCATGTGAGAATCAATTGTGTAGCTAATTGTTTCAGTTAACTATCAGAAACTTGCAACTCTTGCAGCATGAATCTGCTTGTTTTTCTTCCTTATTTTGAAGTTTATACTGTCTCATGACATCTGCCTTCTTGCAGATTTATAAGGTGCTGGGATGCTAAAGTGGGTTATGAGATTTATCGGATTACAGTTGGGCTTGGTGGCTTGGGTAGCGGACCTGAACTGTGTGTATGGTCTTTACTTGCCCTGAGGTAGAAATGGAAGCATTTCTATACACGTTGTATCTCACTTGTGTGTCAATATTCAGATCACTAATATAGTTCTTCCAACACTTTCATAATTAATCCTTTTCAATTTCAGATGCGGGACCCTTGTTAGTGCAGATAGTACTGGAAGTGTTCAGTTTTGGGACTCCCATCATGGGACACTATTGCAGGCACATTCTTCTCACAAGGGTGATGTGAATGCTTTGGCAGCTGCACCTAGTCATAATAGGGTGTTCTCTGCTGGATCTGATGGCCAGGTACAGGTTTTTGTTATATTTGGAGTTGGGACTTGTTAGGATTTTCTTCCTGCATACTGTTGATTTAAGAAATGCAAATAACAAATTCAAATCCTAGTATATAACTTCCTGCATTCTGTTACCATGGAACGTGCATTTTGTTAGGGAGCAGATATGGGCACACGGTTTCTATTCTAGCTTGTATGCTTACATTTTCATTTTAGTTGGGGATGGAGTTAATGATCCTGCTAACATTGAGTTGCTTCTTTTTGTAGGTTATTCTTTATAAGCTTTCTACTGAGACAGTTGGATCTAATGATGGCATGTCTGTTAAAAAGATGAAGAAATGGGTGTATGTTGGTTATGTAAGGGCTCATACACATGATGTTAGGGCATTGACAGTGGCAGTACCAATCAGTCGGGAAGGTCTGCATAAGACTTAGTTTTGTCTTGATTCTCATTGTGTTGTCTTGTTGCATTAGTAAATTAAAATCTAGCATTGACACATGCATATTTGTACACCTTTTGTTGTCATTGATCCTGCATATAGTTTTTTTAAGTTAGTTAAATTTTGTGCATGTAAATGGCAGATCCATTGCCTGATGAGAAGGCAAAACGAATTCGTAGCAGAAAGAAGCCCCTTGATTTTAGTTATCATAAGTGGGCCCATCAGGGGGTCCCCATGCTTATTTCTGCTGGTGATGACACAAAGCTATTTGCCTATTCTGCCAAGGAATTCACGAAGTTCTCTCCTCATGATATCTGCCCTGCGCCACAGAGAGTGCCTGTTCAGTTGGTTCTGAATACTGTATTCAACCAGATTTCTTTGCTTCTGGTTCAAAGCTCTCATTGGTTAGATATTCTTTATGTTCACACGAAAGGGGGAACCATGCCAGATACCAGTCCTGGTCCTTCAAGAGGCCATGCAAATACAAATTTGCTAGCTCGAATTAAAACTAAAGCGTCTCGGAAGATCTTATGCAGTGCCATTTGTAATTCAGGGAGGCTGTTTGCTTATTCAGACCATGTCAAACCCAATCTTTTTGAGTTGAAGAAGCATAGTGGCAAAACTGCATGGACTGTTAATAAAAAGCAACTTCCTCAGAAGTTGCCATATGCACATTCCATGGTTTTCAGTCCTGATTCTTCTCAATTGATGATAGCAGGGCATGATAGAAAAATATATGTAAGTTCTTTTGACCTTTGGCTTTGAACTTTTAATTGTTATTTAATTGTGCACTCTTTTATGTTTTTTCTTGTTTCATAGTTTTTACTAGGGCTGTGTCTTGAGACAGAAGAAGAATTAACTTCTATGTAGCTGGTTGTATGATTTAGATGTTTTATCTGGATATATCTTAGTTTGCCCCCCTACCTTTGTTTTGTGGTTGATAAGCTGTTTGTTATAGAGTATACAAACATATGAACAAAATTTGGGGAAATGTATGTGGGGTTTTAATTTTTTTCCTCTTCATATTAAGAAAAGTCTCTGTGATTTGTTTTTGTTGCAGGATAGTCTATTGCAATAGATGATCCTGTCATTAATGTAGTTCATAGAAAAATACTCTTTCAAGATTTCTCTCCACCTAGTTAAATTTTTTGAGGGGTTTGTGAAGATTGCTTGAGTTTGTTTTTAGTCTCTTTCAGGGTCCAATGTGGTTGCTTCCATTTGCCATGTTTTTTTGTGGCAGTATTTTGGAAGTGAAATTTGTGATATTGATTGAAGGCCTGCCTACACTGATGCCACCTTTCTGATAGTCTCCTTCCTTTCCCAATCAAAGTGGGAATGATTTTATACCGTTTTTTCTATTTGCTACGATGTTGATTGTTATTTTCCAGTCCAGAAAATTAAAGAACATTTAGGTTATACATTTATCATTGTAAAAATATATTAGTTTTCTGAAAACATAGAGATTGATGCAACAGTCACACATGAAAGTTTTTAGCTTCAGTTGAGGCTTTCTTTTCCTTTAAATTGAAACTGAGGTTAAAGGCATAATAAGGACTCTAGATATTCGCAAATCATAGAGAGTCAGTCTGACAGTCTTATTTTTGTTAATTGCTGCAGGTTGTGGATGTGGGCAGCTTGGAATTAGTACATACCTTTACACCTCAGCATGAACACTATAATGAGGAATTACCATCCAGAGAGACTCCCATAACTAAAATGTTTACCAGCTGTGATGGGCAGTGGTTAGCTGCTATTAATTGCTTTGGAGATATATACATATTTAATACGGAGAGCCAAAGGTATTTATGGATACTCTTAATAGTCTTAGGATGCGCATTATTTTCAAATGAATTTTTTCTTTTTTGTGAACTGAAATAAGTACTGGTAACTAGATCATGTTTCTGAAACTTGGTTATAGGATTTTGCAATATTATCAATGTGTTTATTTTGAGACCAAGAATAATTGCATTGATAAAAATCATTAAGCCTTACTCAAAAAGGCTAATAGTTTGGAAATCTCTTTTGAATATAATGCTTTGTATATATTCATTCCGTTGGTGGTCTTCGTTGATATTATTAATAATGTATTATTCTTCTGGAACAGGCAACATTGGTTTGTATCAAGATTGGACAGTGCCTCTGTCACGGCTGGTGGTTTTCCTCCTCAAAACAACAATGTGCTTGTAATCACCACCTCTTCAAATCATGTCTATGCATTTGACGTGGAAGCAAAGCAATTGGGAGAATGGTCTATGCGAGATACAATAGTTCTGCCCAAGAGATACCAAGAATTTCCTGGAGAGGTTATTGGGCTATCATTTTTACCTTCGTCAAGTCCACCTTCAGCTATTATTTATAGTGCCAGGTACTGCTGTCTCCTTATTTGATTGATTTTTATGTTAATTTCTTCAATGGTCAAAGTAGATGATAAGATATACTTGTAGGTATAAATTTCTCACTATTTTTCAAGAAAGCATTGTCTTTGCTATTTGCTGCCTAATTCAAATCAGAAAATCTGAAGCTTGGATTTTTCTTATGGTGTAGGGTTATGTGCTTGATTAATTTTGGGATGCCTGTGGATCGAGAAGAGGACAGTGATATAATAAATTGTCAGTTTTCTCCATCGAAGAAGTTACAAAATAATCTTATTAATGGGAGATTGAAACGTCGGTTGAAAGAATGTGAAATAGATACTAAACATCGAAAGACTTTTGAATTTCTTGCTTTCCGGGATCCTGTTTTATTTATTGGAAATCTTTGTGAAAATTCTATCTTGATCATAGACAAACCATGGATGGATGTCATTAGAACTTTCGAAGCACCTCCTGTACACAGACATATATATGGGACATAACTGCTACGTTGGTCGTTCTTCACAGCCTCAGATGGAGAATGCTGATGTGGCAATGGCCCACAATTTTGACATTAGATTTAAGTTTTCTTAACATAGAATGGGGTTGGAGAGTTAAAGAGTGATATGAAGATCCAAAGCATGTTGTCAATTGTATTCCTAAATGAATCAATTACCTGTTAAAGTTGCAATTTTGTCTTGCAATATTCTCTTTTACCTTGTTCAAGTTCATGTATTTGATCTGTAGTTGCATCGCAGATTCACTCGGGTGATGCAGTGTATGTTCCCTTCTCATTTTTCATTTGTCAATTCTTGTTACTTATATCTGAAATAACCATATTTCTAAAAAGTCAATTTAGTTAGCACTCCTGAAGCTTCCTTCCAAAATTGAAATGGAGACTTTGTCATAGTTTATACCTATATCTGCACGCAATTGTGATTGGTTGTCTTTATATGCTTTTAGTTTGCAGGTATGCTAAATGTGCATTCCCTTTTCACTTCAAAGTGATTATTTCAATGAGATAATTGTCGGGTCATAGCTTGCTTTACTGAGGTTCCATTAGTATTTGTTGTTTGAGTTGTTGAGAGCAGGGGGGTATAAACGAGCCGAGCTGAGTTCGAAATTACCAAACTCGAAGCTTGGCTTGATAGAATTTAGTTTATCTCGAAACTCGACGATCTCGACAATATTTGAATAAATTTAAAATAAATATTATATATATGTATATATAAAAGGTCGATAGGGCTCAATAAGATTCAATGAATTAAACTGAACATCATTAAACTCGAGCGAACTCTGCTCATTTGCTAACAAGCCGATTCGAACTTGAGCTCGATTCAAGTTGAACTTTTTTGAACTCTTTTTGAGTTAGCTTGACTCGTTTACATCCTAATTGAGAGAAGATTTACATTGAAAATGGTAGTTAAATGCACTAAAATATATAAAATTCATGTTTTAATTTAAGTTAGCTACCGCAATCTCTTTTTTAGATTAATCTAAAAAACTGAAAATAAAATACAAAGAACTAAAAATGAAATGAGGTAATATCAAGATTAGCAAAATCCTTAGTAATTCAAATTATAATGCAAATCAATTAATTAAATTTAAGACACTATGACTTTGGCTTAAAACACGGTATTTTTATTTCTAGCTTGTCATCCACGTTAGTTTTCCGGTGAGATTTAGCTTAGAATTTATTAGGATCCACTTTAAGCCTTAATTAGGGTAATATCATCATTTATTCTTTTACTATCAAAAATAATTTTTTTTTTTTTTTTAACATCAGGTTGTGTCCAACTCTTAAGATTGACTAGCGGATAGACGTAGTTTCTGCTCTCCACCTCAGGTTCATGCAAATCTTTAATACATATGAGATTATGATCCATAAGTATTAGTCAGTTTAAGCTCAAATAGGGATTAATTAACTGCTTAGACACCCTCAAAAATCGAACTCAAAACCACTGAAAGTTTGTCCTGTGTGGTTTCTATTAGGCTAACCCTTCAGGGCTAAAAAAAAATTATTATTGATGATACTAAAACCTTAATCCCATCCTTCCATTAACATCTTCCAATAAAAAAAAAACTCAAAATTAAATAAAAAACATTCTAAATTAAAGCAACAATGTAAACATAATCATATTATTTTCTAGATAATGGAAGGAATCATTTCCTTTCTTATTGGAAATACAAGAAGAAGCAGGGCAAACTCGGAAAATGACAATTTTCCTTCATCTTTCAAGATAAAAAAAAAAAAAAAAAGGACCTTAATGGGATTCTTCAAAAGCAAGTGAAGAAAGTGCATTAACTTGACTAATCAATCCCCATCATCTTCCTCATCATAAGCACAAATTCATAGACCTTTTCTGGGTCTGCAAGAACTTTGGCAACACTTTCTCTTTGCAAACATCTTTTGACCCAAGCCGAAAATTTAGGACAATCGTCTTCAACCTTGAATTTCCCGACATTTTCACTGGCCAAAAGCCAACTGGTTAGGGGTATTGCCAAGATATCAACAAATCCAAAAGTTTTCCCTCCAAAGTAATCTTCTTCTCCAAGAGCTCCTTCAAGCACCTTCAATGTCTCTATCAATTCTTTCTTCAATCCTTCTGTAGCTTCTCCTTTGCTCATTGCAACATTGCGAATTGCATCAAATAGCTGTCAAATAACTCTCTAACCGTCAGTAGGGAGAATTACTATTTAGTGCTTGAGATTCATCCTAATTACTATTTAGTCTCTTTTTTTGGTAAATACATTGAATCATTTTGATATTATTCACTCGTTAAACTGTTTAGTTATTCTGTCAAAAATTACAATTGGCTGTTAAATATTAGTAAAAAAAAAAAGATAAAAATACCTTATAATAGTGGAATATTCGGTCCTTCACATTTAAAATAACATCACAATTACTAATCTATTATTTTCACTTGCACTTAATGGCTAAACTATGCCTTTTTTTTTTAAAGGACTTACTGATTTAACGGTTTTATATACTCACAGTTATGGTTCAATAATGTAATTACAAAAAAAAGACTAATAAATGAATTTGTTCAGCAATATTAGCAGCTGTTAGTTGTTTTAGTGACTTATTAGTCGTTAACTCTTATTTTTTAAAGTCTGTTTGTCAAAATTAATTGTTTGATAATCAGTGGCGGAGCTAAAAATTTTTTTCAATGAGATCATTTATTTATTTTGATTTCTAACGCGGGTCAATTAGATTAGAAACTTTAAAATTTTTCACTTAGTATATACTTTTTTTTTAAAAAATTTTGTTTATCATTTGAACCCTATTTTATAAATATTTTTTTAAAAGTTAAGTGGGTCCCACTATAATATAACGTGGCGCCGCGCTGTTCGTAGCTGTTACATGTTTTAGTTGCGTTTATTTGAGCAGCTTTTTATGAAACGCTAAAATTTAACGTTACATGAGTTTACTTTTTTTATAAAACGTTACTTAACTTCACTATAAAAAATAGCAATTAGCATTTTGACTATTTAAAAAAATTGTTGCCCTACGCAACCTTAGCTAGCAGCTACTTATATAGCAATTTAAATTAGTAGTGTTTTGTAAAATTAGTTGTTTAATTTAAAATGATCAAAAAAGAACATTGGTCGTTTAATTAGCTGAATTCAGAGGAAAAAACAATGGGTATGATTGTCAAAAAAATTATTTAATTAAAAGTTAAATGCTAAACATTTAAAAGTTAAATGCTAAACGTTAAAATATTTAAAGTTTTATAAAAAGAACTCTCAATTTCTAAAATCTATTATAAAAACTATGTTATCAATTGTTGTAATCAATAGAAATAGAACTTTGATTTGGCTAAAATGTTTAAAGCTAGCTCAAAAGTTGTTTCCAAACAATAACAATAACTAAGATCAGACCATAGTAATTAAAGAGTAATTCTCACAAAATAAAGAAAGAAAGAAAGAAAGAAATACTAAAACCGAACCTTTTTGTCAATATAATCAGCCCAGAACCGGGCTTGAGCACGCCCATATGGACAAGAAGGAAGTAGTGAAGGTGAAGGCCATGTCTCATCTATATAGCTAACAATTATAGTTGACTCAATTATAGGCTTTCCATTGTGCAAAAGCACAGGAACCTTTTGGTGAATTGGGTTTGATTTTAGTAACAAGTCACTCTTTCCACCAAACAAATTCTCTTCTGCTCTTTCTTCATATTTCAATCCCTTCTCTTCTAATGCAATTTTTGCCCTCATGCAAAAAGGGCTAGCCCAAAAATCAAGAAGAACTAGCTCATCTCCCTTTGACATTTTTTTAGTTTCTTGAATAATATATATTATTTTATTTTGTTTGATGGTAGGAAAATAACGAAGGAATAGCAATTTATATAGGAGGAGGAGTGACACTATCAAAGTTTGTTTCCAATCTTGTTTTGTAGAAGCCTTGTGATTACCATTGCTTGGCCTATGTTCCCACGCCAATTTATGTAATGTAATCAATGGATACGCATTATTTTATGAATGCAAGTTAACAAGTTTGCTCCTATATGTTTTTTTATGATATGACAAATTTCAGTATATACAAAAATTCGAAACAATATTCTATGTCTATATAATATTTTATAATTTATGGGTTTCAGACGAAAGTGACCCTATTGGCATTGTTTCTATAATCGATCCTTTCTGCGCTTTGTGAATTTCAACTTTTAATTTAAGTCTAATTTCTAGGTGGATGCCAACAAGTTCCATGTGAACTAATATAAGAATAGTCCCATTGCAAAATTAGTTCATTTGAAATGAAGAAAGACTTGTTTGAAATGCTAATTAGTTTACTCCCAACTTTTTGAGTAGTTATAATTTTATTTTAAATCGATTTTTATACTCTTGACACCCTGAACTTATCAACTAGTTGTAGTTACATCTTAATTTCAATTAATATCCAACTCATTATTTTTGCATATTAAAATTGATTCATTTTAAAATTAAATATTCAATCTTGATTTAAATTATTTATTATATGTATTATTGATTGTTTAAATACTTGTGTATTGAGTTCATTATTTTGCATTATTTTAATCAAAATTCCAACCTTAGTTTATTTTAGGATACAATTGCAATAAATTGACAAATTCAGAGTGTTGTAATTCACGTTTAAGGTGTCATTGCAATTAGGGTGATAAGTTCAGGGTGCCCCAGATACAAATATCGATTTAAAATGAAATTGCAATTATTCGAAAAGTTCGATATGAAGATTTCGCGAAATTTTTTCTAATCAAATTCTAAGAGAAAAAAATCCATGAATTTCCTGGCACATATTTCTTATTAAGATCTTACTTGCATGTTATTTATATGTAATTATAATTTTACATTTGCCCCATCTAATTTATAAAGTTTTATCATCAATGTTTCTAATTAATTAATTAATTATTATAATTAGAAGCAAATGTAATCTTCTAAACAATACCCTTCAAATCTTGTCTTTTCTTCTAAAAAATTGAAGATTTAAGATTTATTATATAAATAAATGTAATATAAATGTAATCGCCGAAAACGGCTCCGTGGATCAACAGAAACCAGGCGGAATATGAATTTGATTCCGTCCAATCATACCGTCGCCGGTCAACGCCATTGGCCACCGGCTACGTGGCATCGGACGTTACTATTTTTCAAAATAAATAAATAACCCTTTGAAAAGAAAAAAATAATCACAATCACAATAATACCCCCAGAGAGACCCGTTTCAAATCACCCACACAACGGCACACTGTCACCCACAGATCCCGACCAATCAACAATCGAACCAGAAAACGAAACAACAAAGGGAACGAATCAGAAGGACTGGAATTGGCGGATGTGAAAAGTGAGTTTTGAGTATGACCGCTGCTGATTAAAGTGTCATACGGCACTTCCTATCTAACGGGAATTCTTCCTCATCTGGAAATTAGCAAAATTTCTAAAATCAAACTCCTAAAAACGCAAAATCGATGGATCTGTAGATATAAAGCATAAGAAACTATACTCGAAGCTGCTGAAAATAGTACCTGAGACGTAAGGCCGAGGACGAGAGCTGAGCAAGAGAAAAGACTAACGGTTACAGTCTCCGTCAAGCTTTACAATAACTGATTTCGAAAATTTCAAATTGCCGTCCAACGACACGGTCTTCTCTAAAAAGAATAAGGCCGTGTTTGGGTAAATCAAATGTTGATGGGAAGCGACACAACATGGGTTAGCAAAAAGCCTGTCAGACGCATCGGAGGCATGTCCGATGCCCTCTCCATTGCCGCCGATCTTGGTTTTTCCGTTGCACCTCCTCCTTCTCAGGTCTCTCTTTTATGTCCCCCTTTGATGTGGACTGTGATGGCGTGTTGTTATCGACTGATTACTTTTTCTGTTCTATTGCACGCCTAAATTTATATTCTCAGTGATATTTGTTTCAGTTATTGTTTTACATTGCTTGGATGGATTGTTTTGTTATTTTCCTTTTAGGCTAGGTTTATTTTTGAGCAACTGGGATTATAACCGGGGGTAATCTGATTAAAATATTTCACTTTATATATATATATATATATATATATAATAATAATATATATATATATATTGTATAATTGAGTGTGCTTTACTGGAATGGGAATGGAGAAGAAAAAGGCTTAGTAGAGATTCATAAAGTCGTCATGCACATGGGAAATTCATAATTTTCTTGTGAAGGGAATTAGAGACTGGGAAGTGAAGCAAAGTAGGCTTTATCTGGATTTGAACCCTTGACCTTCTACCCACTAATTATTTTATTTTTATATATATATATATATATATATGTATAATGAGTGTTTACTGAATGGGAATGGAGAAGAAAAGGCTTAGTAGAGATCATACAAGTCGTCATGCACATGGGAATTCATAATTTCTTGTGAAGGATTAGAGACTGGGAAGTGAAGCAAATAGGCTTTATCTGGATTTGAACCCTTGACCTTCTACACTATTAGAGTGGCACTCCATCACTGTAATGTGACTTGATTTTCTTAACTTAACGGTGCTAACTTTGCTCTAATAGATAAATTACTGAATTTGCTTGTTGCATATCTTTTGAGAAGAAGAAAAAGAAACAAACAAACTGCAAAAGTAAACTTAGGATTAATGTAAATGTTTTGACACAGCTTATATTTGTCAATAAGTAAATTGATGTTGGTGATCATCTATGGCATATTATATTCATTCTATATTAAAATCCGCCAAATTTTTCTGTGATGTAAATCCTTAACTAAGTTTTGGTCAAAACTATATACCATTCCTCTTTTAAATGCTTCTTTTTCTTTTAAAAAAAAGTCATTTGATTTTCTAGTCACTGTTATTGCCATTTTTATTTATGAGTTCCAAGTATATTTTCTTTCATCTTTGCAGTGCCTGTTTATCGGCTTACTCAGTAGGTTACTAAAATGCAGTATATATTTGGCTTTATCAATTATACATGTGTGTGGGTGCTAGAAGATTTATTGAGCTCATAATTTTTGTTCTTTTAATTCTGTGCAGGAAGAAATCCAGAACTTATCCACTACTACTGGTGAAAAAGGTGGTGACTTGATAAGGGTTTTAAGAGAATTAACTACTGTACAAAGAAAAATAGCAGATCTACAAGTGGAACTTCAAGGTCGAAAGGTGAAGCATCTTTATTCATGTTGCTCCCCATATCAGTTTACAATCTACAGAGCATTGATAAGAAGAGGAATTTTTACATTGCTAACGGGCTTATGATTTTGTATGTAGTAGTAATTAACATTAACTTTTGCCATGAAAATTTAGGATGACAAAAATGTGGCACATTTGACACATGTGAGTGAAATGGAAAAGAAGATTGAGACTTTGGCAAGGATTACCACTATACTGAAGGATGTTATTCAGAATAAGGTAAGTTATCTGTGTTGATTACTAAGTTGAAACTTCACATGTCATTTAAGCCTCAAAAGGAAGCTGCATTATTAGAATCATATAAACAGCGCATTCATATGTAGATGTGCATGAATTTACCTGGATTCTGTGTTGATTGCTAAATTGAAACTTCACATGTCATTTAAGCCTTGAGAAAGCTGCATTCTCCAGAATCACATATGCAGCACATTCATGCATAGACTTGCATGAATTTACCTGGATTTTCACTCATGCTGTAATTCAAACTTGCATATCTAAAGAACCATATGCAATTTGATCGATTTTTATTCCCAACAATTTAAATACAAAATGAATTACTTCAGATATATAATATGGTTCTAACATACTCTTGTTGACTTATTGCTATCTATTGTGGAATATCTGATTTGTGACATAGTTTGTTTGAGTGAATTTTAGTATTACACATACTTAATTGTTTTAACCACCTGATTTGGGAGTAGGGGGATGGTGATTGAGGTTTCTGATTGTCAAAAGCATTTTAGGGGGAAAAGAATTACAAGAACCGACAAAGGTTGCCTAGGAGCAACTTTTTTGATGTGTCATATTTGTTTTTGCTGGAAACTATTCCAAAGACATAGACTAAGCCTATTCATGCTGCAGAGACTTTATGCTTAAAGGAGGAAAGTTTTGAAAACATTTTGTAGGATAATTTATCAATAACTTATTTGGGACATCCATGATAGAGGGTTCCTTTGCTCCAAGTATTATGGTTAGAACTAGGTACGTACTGGTTTGTGTTTGTACCAGTTTTGTAATTCAGAGTGATTATGAATTAATTTTGCCTTTATTATCATTTTGCACAACCTTCTTGTCAAAGCAGTAGTCTTTCTTTAGCTGTTTCAATTTTTTTCTGGCAATTCTGTTTGCATTAATGACATTCTTTTTGTATTTTTTGTTCTCCCAAATGTTGGCAGGACCGAATTATAGCTCGTCTCCAACAACCATATTCACTAGATTGTATTCCAGTTGAAGCAGAATACCAGGTTGTTCATCCAATGATAATGTAGTCTTGAGTAAGCATTTAGGTTTTCTATATTGATTTTTCATTTGCATTGTATATCAAAATCCATGTTCACTTGCACTGAGAGTAGAAATGTTTAAACTCTAGTAATTAATATCATGGGCTTGTTGTTTCGAGGGTGCATATTGTGTTTGGTGCTTGGCCTGAAAACCTTGATTATATTGATGATTTGTGGCTTTCAATGGAAAAGCCTTTGAAGTCCATCATCTGCCAATCAAATGTGGGAAATGATGCTTGTCCTTAATCGGTAGTTATAGAGCACATCCAACCATGATGATAAAGAACAGTAATGATGGTTCACATCCAACTGGCATGATTTGCAGTCTAAAAGGCTAGAGTACAGTTTTTTATGTTACTTCTAAGTGCTACATGATTTTTGTATCATTGATTGACTGAACTTTGTCTTAATAATTTCATAGCTGTGACTGTGAGACCATCTAGGAAACTTAAATTGGGATTCAAATGTCAAATTCTTAGGTTAGATGAAACGCTGACACTTTTAATAGGCTTTAAGATTAACCTTTGCTGAATGAATTTTTCAAATTTATCAAGATCCATTACATGAGAACTCCTCTTCTACATATTTCTGGTATTATGTTTTGCTTGTGCTTACAGCTCTAGGTCAAACAGTATTTGTCACTGACATGAAAAATGTGCAAAGTTGATGTTTGGTATACTATGAACTTTCTAGGAATGATTTAAAAAGAAAATAAGTGTACATTAGTATATGCTGCGCAGAATAGGACCAGTTAATAAAATAGCTTTCTTTGACATTGAAATTTATTGCTTAATGGATCTGGCATTTCTCCTTTGAATCATCATAATGCATGTTAACCAAGTTTGAAATAGTGTAATAAATAAAGAATTTGGAGAATGAACAGTAATATTGTATTGCCATATATACCTATCCAGATAAGATGAGGGAAGTAAAGTTAGTAACTACAATGTAGAAATTTTATTAGTTGGAAGGTCATTGGTCCATCAAATATGCAAATAATAAATTCAGCTGCTACTATTGATGAAATATAAAATTAATCACAATACTGCAGATAGTGAATATATGCAAAAAAAGAAAAAAAAAAAAATTCAGCTGCTATTATTGATGATATATAAATTAATCACAATACTGCAAACAATGAATTTTGAGTTTAATTTTACATTATACTTCAGTCAGGGCTATTGAATGGTTAATTGGTGTTCCTTGGTCATTCGCATTTAATATGCAGAAGCAATTTTCAGAACTACTGATGAAGGCTGCAAGTGATTATGGTGCCTTGACAGCATCTGTTTCAGATTTCCAATGGAGTCAGAACTTTAAGGAGTCTCCTTCAGTTTGGGGGGTATGCTTGTCGAAACATTGTGCATTATTTTGCATTTATTCATTCTTTTGACATGTTGTATGCCTTTAGCATATGTTTGTGGTGATCTTAGGTTTATTGCCAAATATGTTCTTCCATCAGTTGCACTTTCTTAGTATTAACTAAATCCGACTATATTGCTCTATGTGAGATGATATAATCATGGGAGAAATTGGTATCTTTAAGAAACCATGTAGAACTATTGCATTCTGGTATTCAATAGCCTAAGTGTGAAGTAATTTATAGCATGGAATTGTAAACACAGGAAAAGAGGTGGCCAATTACAATAATTAAGGTCTTTTTATTGTATACTTAGTTTTGCTTTAGATTTTGTAAGTACGAGCTCTATTCATTAAATTTTTTTCAGGATGTCAAACTCAAACTTTATAGTTACTTAAGAGGATTTTCCTGAAGCATTATTAATTATATTTATGTTATTTTAGAGAGGATCTTATTTCTGATATACACAAACTCAACATGTCATGAAATGTCATATCAATATCCTTCTATATATGATAGCAAACTTTTTACAGTGTCACCAAAATTATAATTTTTCATGAAAACATTGAAGTATATGTTATGCATGGAATATTTTGCCTCCCATTTTACATATTCTTTTGGCTGTTTTCATTCAGGAAATGCTACGTCCAATTCCTGTTGCCTTAGCGTCCTGTACCCGTTTCTTCGAAGCAATGTCTGCCATGAGAGAATCATTTGCTACACTGCAAAGTTTAAGAGTTGGCCCTTCAGATTCCTCTTTGCCAACAACACCAGCAAATGATCTCTCGCATAGACTGCCAGGGGATTCAGATTGTATAACTCCACCTCCTTGGAAAAATGAATCTAGTTTTGATGACTTGGCAATCAAAAGCCATAAGAAACAAGAATTTAAGGGGCAAGAAGCAGATGATGAAAGTAGCGAAGTGGGCGACCTTCATCAAGTTGATGGCACAAGTCACAGGAGATTGTCCTGGCCTCCGTCCATTAAAAAGAATGGTACACAGTAAATCCCTTGTCTTTTGTATTATGTTTTCCTTGGATTGAAATTCTCGCATTAGAAGTATTAAATAACTTGAAATCTTCATTTGCTTGTGTAGTTAAGTAGCGGAAATTCTTGTGGGAATTATATATCAATATATATATTGTCACTGTTTGTTGAATGTTGCCAGTGATCATTTTGTAGCAAGCTTTTCTTTTTTTCTGCATATTGATTGTGGTTTACTTTTCTTAGATTTTTTAATGTTATGCTTTATTTTGATTTGAAACATTAGTTCAGTAGCATGGTGCGGATAGAGATGAGAGAAGTGATTCTAAGGGGACATTTTTTTGGTCATTGCTTTCTTGCCTGGCCTGTTCTAAACGGCATGAAAAGAAAGGCATATGATATTTTTAGCTATTTGTTTGATAAAATATGGGTATAAAATGCCATTTCCAGCTTAACAGTCAGTTGTTTTGCTCGTTGGATTATTTTTTAATGCAGCCAGTAGTATCTGGAGTAATCATTCAGTACTGTTAATTTGGGTTAAATCATTAAAAAAAAAAATCCTAAAATAGTTTTCATTGTATTATAAATTCAATTTTTTTCTCTTAATACTCTGAATTTAACTCTAATTTCAAATTGCATCCAATTTAACGAGTAAAATATTATTTTGTACCTAATATTAAAATAAAAAATAATTTATTCTTCTTGAAAATAAAATATTTATTTATTTATATAATATTGACAACAAGTAATGATTCAATATGAATAAAATTACGCTGTAATGAATAACATTTATTTTTATAAGAGATCTCATTGCAATATAATTTTAATAAATCCTAACTACAATTCCATGCGTAAAAAATGACAAAATAAAAAGTTAAATTAATATTCTATACTGATAACTAACTAAAATTTATTATTTTACTGGACTTTTTATCAATTTTAAAAGAATTACTGAGGAATATTTATCAAATTCTAATTAATTGCAGAAGCTTGCTTCGACAGTCACAAATGTCTTTTACTCCACAATATTTCATCTGCAATTATGAGGAATTCTATTTAGGCCTTAAACTACATATTCACGGTTTTGCTTTGGTAGGAATCATTATCCATCCAATACTGCAAAAACTTCTTCGCAGTAAGCATCCTGCTAAACCAACGATCTAACAACTATTATACAAGGAGATTTTAGAAAATAAATGCAAATGAATTTTCAACAGTGAATTTATTCCAAACATAAAAATTTTTTTTACAAATGAATTCTATATTTTGAATTCATTTTAGAGTTTTGAAAACTAAAATTTCTCAATATGATAGAACATATTTGGATGTGTTGTGGATGACTGTAAGTCATTTCTTAGAGAATTATTGCAAATTTGCAATGTTCTGTGTGTTTTATCTCCAAGTCAGAACAACACGTACTTATTCCATTCCTGACCTTAAAGAATGGGTCCTATCTAAGTATGGCCAACGGTTGATTTTGAACCGAAATTGAACCGTATTGTAGATGAACTAGAACCGTCGATTTAAAGTTTTGAACTGGAACCGACGGTTCAAGGGCGGTTAAAGTTTATGTGAATGTTAAAATCTGAATCTAAACTGACCCTGAATCGGCGGTTCCGGTCCGGTTCGAATCGAAAATTTTCTATTTTTATTTTCAAAATGATAATCAGTTAACCTATTTTATACATCTCTAAAAGTCTCAATAATATTTTTGATCTAAACTGAACCCTGAATCGGCGGTTTCCGGTCCGGTTCGAATCGAAAATTTTCTATTTTTATTTCAATAGATTAATTCAGTTAACCTATTTATATACATCTTTATACATCTCTAAAAGTCTCAATAATATTTTAATACATGATATACTTTATGTAATATACTTTTTTAAATACACTTTACTTTAAAAGTTAAAAATCTAAAAACTAAAATGGTAAAAAAAGAGATAAATATTTAGTCTAAACTTATATTAATTTTAACTTTTTTTTTACCCTTTTAAATTGTTTACTAAGTTTAAAATTACATTCGTTTGAAGCATTTTTCAAAATTTTCTTATAATTTATTTAATTAATAACATTTAAACAAAATAAAGTGATAATGTATTTGATTATTTTGTAAAATTAATTAATTTTATTCTTATATGAGTATGAGCATTCTAAAATTTATTTAAAATAAAATTTACCAATATTTTTTAAACTCTAACTCCATTATTCAAAGAAGATTATGTAACGTTTTGAACTTCTTATATGAGTATGAGCATTCTAAAATTTATTTAAAATAAAATTTACCAATATTTTTTAAACTCATATTCAAAGAAAGATGTAACGTTTGAACCAATTTTTTTTTTTTTAAAAAAAAAAATATATTGTAGGAAATCGTAATCGGAACCGTCGGTTCAATAGAACCCCACCGGAATCGGCTGGAACCGGAGTCGGACAGGAACCGGCAAGGGTTTGTTCAGGTTCAACATTTTAAAAATTTTGATCTGTCGGTTCTGTTAACCGGAACCGGTGATTCAATGAATCGGTCAGGCCGCTATCCCTCCCTATTTCATTTTAAATACTTTCTTTCTTGATTCTCTTTAATGCAATTTGGTATGTTCCCTTCAATAAAAAATTGTACATTGTTTTTGTTAATGGTGTCTGAAAATTTTTAATTAGTAAAAAAAAAGTATTAAGAACAATTTTTTTTTTTTTAGAAAAGAAAAAATTTGATGAGCTATGAACTCTAACACCATTAGAGCTAACCAACCTAATTTTATTTTGGTTTTGTCTGAGCATATTTTTGTTGAACCATATAGTTTCATTTCATTTAATTGTTGAATTACATTAAAGTATAAAATGAAGATTAAGAATATAATTATTTTTATATATTATATTGTATAATATATTTTTTAATTTTTAAAGTGATAATATTCTTTATTATTTTAATGTGTTATAAAACTGAAAATACTAATTAAATTTGAAAATAGTATTAATACTTTCTTATGTTCTAAAATTATAGTTTCAATTTCTTTTTTGCATATCCCAAAATAATAATCTCATTTGTATTTTTAGAAATATTTTTTTTTTTCACTTTCCCATAATATCTTTATATAATAATCCATATAAATATTTGATGTTGATGATATATACTTTTCAGACAGTGGAAAAAGAGTCTTAAAACAATTAATTATGAAATTTTGATATACTAACCACCTATCCTATTTTAAAAGTCTTAAAGAATCATTAATATATGATATTTAGAATCTCTAAGGGACATATAAAAAGATAAGGAAAAAAATTATAGCTAAAATAATTATTCTTAAAATGTGTAATAAAATTGGGTTTATTATTTTTGGGAGGAGTAGAAATTTATTACTTTTAACTAATTATAAATAAATTAAACTTGAAAAAGATAATTTTATTAATAATTATTTTATAAAATTAAAAAAGTCAAATAGTCTTTCCGTCTCAAAATATAAGACATTTTGAATTTTTTAAGAAATAATAAATAAATGTATGTTTTTAAAAAATGCTTTTTGCCCGTCTTTCTACAGGATATATATATATATATGGTCAACAAGAGGAGATTAGAAGGAAGTTGGGGGTCAAAGCCGTTGCTCAACATTTGAAGTATTTAGGGCTACCAAAAATTATTGGGAGAAAAAAGAAGTAGATGTTTAGCAACCTTGTTGATAGAGTTGCCAAAAAAAATTTAAGAGCTAGAAGGAAAAAACTCTTTCAAGAGTAGCAAGGAAATTTTGCTCAAAGCGGTAATCCAGGCAATCCTACTTATATTATGAGCCGTTTTTTACTTCCTAACGATATTTTGCTCAAAGGGCTACTTTTTATTGCTGGAATTTCAAGGAAGTAAGGAGAGCTTAAGCCAGACCCAGCAAAGGAAATCCAATCAGATTCTGCAGTGGCAACCGCCGGAGGAAGGCTTATATAAGATTAATACTAATGCTGCAGCCAGGCTTGATGAGTGTGGGGTTGGTATGGTTGTGCGAAATAATCATGGGGAGGTTATGGCCTCAGGTTGTGCTTTGTGACCAATGTCCCTTTCGGAGGAAAATGCTGAGGCAGAATCTATTCTTTTTGGACTAAGACGAGCCAGGGATCTTGGTTTTGCGGCTGTGAATATTGAATCCGACTGTCAGAGTGTGGTAAAGCTTCTTCGAGAGAGGGACACTCCTTTGTCTGAGCTAGGTACCCGCATTCTCCAAATTCATGCTGTCGCAGCTGAATTTCCTTCTTTTTCATATAGTTTTATTAGTAGGACATGCAATTGGCCTATGGATTGACACAATATGCTCTCTCTTCTACTGTGTTAGAGCAAATTTGGATTGAAGATATTCCTTAACCTTTTCATCAACTTGTATTGGCTGATTTAGCCCCTTATTTCTCATAATGAGATTCAGTTTTTATCCAATATATATATATATATATATATATAAAGAAAGAAAGAAAAAGGAAACCAAAAATTTTACTTTCCTTTTTTTTTACATAGTCTGTCTTCTTTTTTCTTTTTTTTTTTTAACTTTATTACTTTCTTGAGTTTCTATTGCTTTGTATGTTCATTCAAAGAGGGGCCCGCAGATCCATCCGGTTCGGCCCAGTCCGCACGAGCTTTGGTTAAAAATGGACCAGGTAAAAAAAAGCTCATTTTAAAAACGAGTCTCAATTCCTCTATTTAGATTCATAAAAATTACGGATAATTCCGGACAATTTACGAGTTTAGGCCCATTTTAATAGTAGTAATTTTGATATGAATGATAATTTGTTCAATTACCATTGATTTTGTTATAATTTATATATATAGTGTTATAATATTTGAAGCCACAAGCCCAATTAATATGGATTTACACCAAACAAATCTACAAAGGGGTGAAGGATTTTCTATTCCAAATACTGAAAGAGACTTTGGATAAAAAGTTCTACCTCAGCACTTTTGATTAAGGAAAAGGAATCATTGGTAATAATAATAAAAATATTTTAAAATTTATTGACACTATTCATTTATTAATTAAGAATTTTATATTCAACGGGATTAGTACAATCAGTAAAAAAAAAAAAAGAATTAGGATTTGATTCTCCCGGAAAACATCAAAAGAAACTAAAAAAATATTTTTAGGTGCACCAAATCAATATAAGAGAATTGACCACTAAGTTTATCTTGCCAAGAGAAGAGACTGAATACCTCCACAGTAAATAGCAAATGGCAATTTACTGCATCCCCAAAAAATGGATTGGGATTGTCCCAATTAGATTTAATGTTTTAAGGGTTTTCACTTGCGTCTAAATGACATCTGAAAGTTCTGTCGTTATGATCCATTGAAAAGTGACTTCTTTGAACTTCCAAGTCTGGACCATCCTAATCCTAGATCGCAAATGTTTATGGTAAATATATCATCATATATATATATATATATATATATATAAAAAGAGAATCATGATCACTCTCACGTGTGCTTATGTGACATCTCCACTAAACAGAGAGTTTATAGAATTTGAGTATTTAATTTTTAGTTGGGTAGGAAAAATTTGGCTCTTAAAATTAAATTGCATAAGTGGTAAATTAGAAAATGAAACTCCCTTATTTAAGATAATATGTCTTTTTTAAGATATATATCACTAAAATTAAAATTCAAATAAGAAAAATATGCCTTCATCAAATTAAAAATTAACTAAAACCTTTCTTTTTATGATCTGTTTACAAATTAGCTTCTATAAATATTTTAATTTATAATTTCTCTACTCGTAATTTTCCCACATTTCATTTTTTTGTCTTGCTTGAATATATAAACTCTCTTTTCTTTATCTATCACGTTTTTTTACCTTACATTGATTATCGGTTCAATTTATTTTTCTAAATAAAGCATACTTTTATTTTTTTTATTGTGTATTATGTTTTATTATATTACTATATTTTTCGTGTTGTTTGAAATCTTTAAAATTTGATTTTCAAGTTATAGAATTTGAATGAATTCTTCTCCGAACAAATAAGAAATTAAGTAATATATATATATATTCTTAAAAAAAAGTAATTTACATATAAAAAAATGCAGTGTTAGATTATTAGTAGTTCATTTTATTGTTTTTTTTTAAATAATTATTATTATTAATATTTATATTTTCTTATTACATATTTTATAATTCAAATAAAATAAAAATATCACACGAGTTCCCGTGTAGTTCATATCAAAACTCATGAAGATAGAAGTGCAAGTTTGGGTTCCTAGAAGTTTGAAGTTTTGCATTAAAATTTAAAATAGTCTGAAACTGATAAATGTGAATACAAAGTTTCTTTGCAAGCTGGACTTAAAAACTTTATTTTCCATCGTTACCCTCACATCCTTTGCAACTCAGGAAGCTTGATTTGTAAGTGATGATGAGGGCTCTGTATCTATTACACACGTACGCTTATGTACTAATTATCAACATTAATTTAACTTTTATATTGTCCAATCGGATAATGATGATTAGATTAAAAAACTTAGCTTTTAATTAGTATTTGTATATTTAACCTAATTAAGTTGACTTTTATTAACGCTGTCAATTTAAAAACAAGCAATACATGTACGGTCACCGGAGTTTACCTGTGTTATATTCCGGCGCTGCTTTCTTGCACTTTAATTCCATTTTTAATAATACTCTCTCTCTTAAATTCTACTTTATTTATAATTTATTTTATTATATATAAATACCCTATTAAGCATTAAACCTCCACACAAACTCTCTTTCTTTCAACTTCCCACCACTTCCTGTCATTAACCGTTACCGTTAATTACTATACCAATTAGCTTATTCGAATTTCCTTTCTCATTTACCAAATAATTAATTGATCATGACAAAACTAATCTGCTTCTTCTTCTTCTTCATTTTCTTTGCCCTGCTGAATATCAACTCGTCATTTGCCAGAACCAGCTTTAACGTTTTAAGCTATGGAGCCAAACCTAATGGCGTAACAGACTCCACCAATGCTTTTCTTGATGCATGGACTGCAGCCTGTGGCTCTAATGATTCAACTATGATATATATACCTAAAGGGAGGTATTTGGTCGGCGCTATGGTTTTTAAAGGTTCCTGCAAAAGCTCTGATATCACCATTCGCAACCTAAAGGGAGGTATTTGGTCGCGGTCGCCTTATTGGGTTTTAAAGGTTCCTGCAAAAAGCTCTTGATATCACCATTCGCATTGTAACGTTTTAAGCTATGGAGCCAAACCTAATGGCGTAACAGACTCCACCAATGCTTTTCTTGATGCATGGACTGCAGCCTGTGGCTCTAATGATTCAACTATGATATATATACCTAAAGGGAGGTATTTGGTCGGCGCTATGGTTTTTAAAGGTTCCTGCAAAAGCTCTGATATCACCATTCGCATTGATGGGACACTGGTGGCTCCAGGAGATTATCGCATTCTAGGTCAAGTTGATGACTGGCTTAGCTTTAAAGGAGCCAATGGTGTTTCCATTGTTGGTGGAGCATTGGATGCTAACGGGTCACCTTTGTGGGCTTGCAAAGCCAAAGGCAGTAACTGCCCTGATGGCGCTACGGTAGGTTTATATCTTTTTTTGTTTGAATCATTACTATCCAGATTTAAGATTATATTTTTGTTTAATGGGTTTCTGAATTAATTCTTGCAGACACTGAGGTTTACAAACTCCAACAATATAAAGATCAGTGGGTTGTTATCATTAAACAGCCAAATGTTCCACATAGCCATTAATGGCTGCCAAAATGTGAGTGTTGAAGGAGTTAAAGTGATAGCTTCTGGAGATAGCCCAAACACAGATGGCATTCATGTTCAACACTCCACCAATGTTGTGATCATCAACTCTGTAATTAAAACTGGTGATGACTGTATCTCCATTGGCCCTGGCGCTAAGAACTTGTACATTGAACGGATTAGATGCGGACCTGGTCATGGCATTAGGTCCGTCAGATACATTATTATACACGTATAGTTAATTTTATATACTATTTATAAAAATTAATATTATTTTTCATTATATTTACAGCATTGGAAGCTTAGGTTGGGACTTGGAAGAAGAAGGGGTTCGAAATGTGACTGTTAACAGTACCATTTTTGCAGACACTCAAAATGGATTTAGGATAAAGTCTTGGGCTAGACCAAGCAATGGATTTGTTCAAGGAGTTCAGTTCGTTGGTGCCATTATGCGTAATGTCCAAAATCCCATTGTCATCGATCAACATTATTGTCCTCACAATATAGATTGTCCTACTCAGGTTAATAAATAAGAAATATTATAGTATGATCTCAATAAATATAATCTTTTTATATTTTCTTACGAATATAACTTTTTGTTATATGCAGGTGTCAGGAATAAAAATTAGCGATGTACTATATCAAGGCATTCGGGGAACTTCAGCTAAATCAGTTGCTATAAAATTTGATTGCAGCTCTAAATTTCCATGTAATGGGATAAGATTGCATGATGTGAATTTGACTTACTCAAATCAGGTAGCTCAATCGTTTTGTGCTAATGTGATTGGAAAGACAGTTGGTCTAGTTCAACCCGACGGTTGTTTGTGATTAAAAAATATATATGTAAATATAAATGTAATTTACATTTATTTATTTATTGTATTAATTCTCATTAGTTTATAAGCTAATATTGATTATTCTTTTTTTTTTTTTTCTTCCCACAATTATATGCCTAGGATTAGTGCATTACTCGATTAAAATAAAATAAAAACAAAAAATCAAACTGAATACTAAACATTTTATGTTCTAGCAAGGTGTTTGCTGAGTGAGAAAAGAGACAAAATGAGTTAAATTATAGAGAGAACGGAAGATATAGAAAGAAAAAGATTTATTTGTTCTATTTCTATTGCTTAATGGCTAATACATCTCTTATATATTTAATTATTTATGAATTGAACCATTAACAAACTCTTAGCACATTATTGAACTAATAACGTTCCAACTTCGCCTAACTATAGTGTAGTTGATAACCTACGAATGCACACACATGATTGCATCTCTTTCAAACAACAGCAAACACTTATATCATCTCTTTCAAATGATAGGACATGCTTGAATTCCGCAGACAATTTTTGTGAAGGTAGGTAAGTTTGATTCGAGGAACGAATTCCAAAATAAAATTAGTCTCAAATACAAACAGGGCGAACGTATCATCATTATGGTCTAACATGATTGTATTTTGTTATTGTTATTAAAATGGGAACTTATGTTAATCCACGATGAAAATAAATCAGGTAATAGTCAATGTTTGTGCTTTCCATCACAGTATAAATTTATATTGAATGGAACATTCATGAAACTACAAAAAGCCATCTATCAATTTATGCAATAAGATTGACAAGGAACAAAAACAGAGACTACTTTTCTTACTGTAAACAATGTAAATCAGATAGATTCTGGCTGCCAATCAAGTGTCTCTCCTGCAGACATTGGAACGATATCTCCGAACGGAAATGAGAAAGACTCTGGCACCTTCCACTGGGCCTTGGTCAACTTGATCTTTGATATGTTCCTTGGAAGTCCGTAAAAGTCTGGTCCGTTAAAGCTTGTAAATGCCTCTAACTTATCAAGTGCGCCAGCCTAGAACAAGCAAACTACCATATAAGATACTGTGAAGACAGAATGTTTAAGACAAAACTTGTTGATATGGACGTGAAAATAGCTGGAGTTATGTATGTAATATGGCATAAAAAGGCAAGGAAGCAGTAAAATATTTGGTCCATGACATGACAAGTTATGATAATAACAGACAGAATAAAAGATAAAATTTTCTGTCAATAACAACAGCAAATTTAATGCACTGGTTAGGTCTAAATATTAGATGATTCCTCTCAGCATTGTTAGAACATCCATTGTTTCCTTCACCAGAAACGAGAACTGAAAGAAATCAAATATTGGTTTTATATTGGGATGCATCCATAAAAAGTTGAGGTTGAATAGCTTCTAATGCATAAGCTCACACTGATGCAGCTAAGAGAAAAGGAAGGTACCATTAACAACGGGCACTTGGTAAGCAGATGGATAACAAAAGAAGTTACCTCTTCAAAAACCTTGGTATATAGTGACAAGGCAACAGGGGCATTATAAATTCCAGCACATCCACAAGGACATTCCTTTCTCTTTCTTTCATGAGGAGCACTATCGGTCCCAAGAAAAAATCTTTTACTTCCACTAGTAACAGCTGAAACAATTGCTTGTCCTAGAAAAGACAAACAAATAAGCTCACAACAAAGAGGAAACATAATGGCGATAACTCGTTACGGACTCCTCTGTATACTATTTATTAATAATAACTAAATGAAATGTATATTCCTATATCAAAACAGATAAAAAATAATTTCAGGAACAATCATTCTCAGGGTTTTTTTTTTAATTCAGAAAACTTACTGAATGCATGGTCTATGAGTGCTAATTGCTAAATACCCTATCAGCCTCAACATTGTTTAATATTTAGAAAACTATCAACTTTAAATTGTCAGGGTGAATTGACGATAAAGAAAGAGATTAACTATGGGTTCTTTTCATTGTAAAGGGCAATTCATATTCTAAAAGATGGTAATAAGACCTACTGTGGGTTTCTCTTTTGAGTACTGGAAGGCAATAACTGTGTGGTTGCAGTCCTCCTTGGAATAGAGCATTTCTATTCAGAACAAGATGCTGAGGAGTAACAGTTGCTGCCACAGATCCTAAAAGATTAAAATAAGTTAGATATGAATCTAAATATAATATGTAAGAAGCTAAAAGAAAATGAATACTGGGAAGGAAAATGGCAACACTTCTCCATGGGAGACATTAACAGTACCATTATCACAAGACTCGACAAACCTAACAGCATCCATTGTAGTGATATGCTCCATCACAACCTTTAGTTGTGGAAGCCTTTGGATTAAGGGTTGCAAAACAGTGTCAATGAAGACCTTCTCACGATCAAATATGTCAACATTTGGATCTGTAACCTCCCCATGTACCTGTAGCAAGAATTCCGTATGTATATGAAAGATATGAGTGAACACAATAAGTAATATTCTACCAAAAGCCATGTTAGGCTAGTTATGGCTCATTAGCATAAATGGAAAATTTAAGAGCAAATTTGTTTTGGGTTCTAGAAATACATTTTTGAGTCATGAAGCATTTCTTTCCAAAAATAAGTAATGTAATGAAGCATTTAACTTGTTGAGCTACAATGCCAATAGTGAGCCAAATAGTAACATTTATCCACTTTACCAGTACATACATTGCCGGACCACCTTTATTATTAACTATTTTTACTGAAACAGTATAATTAAATCCTAAATTCATTAATACAATTTGCTATTCCATCATTTACTATTCAAGCTTTAATAATCCATTTACAACTACTAAATTATTAAGTACCAGAATTATCCAGATAATAAATTTTGAGTTTCATCAAATTCCACAATTGTTTAGCCCAAATAGTTTGGAAAATTTACCTGCAAAGAATTATCAAATTCATCATGCTCTTATTAAAGTGTACAGAAAAAAAAGGATTCCATGAAATTTTAACACTCCTAACACAAGGAAAGGGAGAACAAAAGGAAATTTGAATGCCAAACCAATATGGTAAAATTACCAGTAAAGGCATATTTTGCTCAACCATCTCCTCAAGCACCGGGAGACATTTCCCAAAAAGATCAGTAACACCAGCTTGAGAATTTGTTGTAGCACCAGCTGGGTACAACTTAACAGCAAAAACGACTCCACTCTTTCCTGTTTATGTAATCAGCCTTAACTTTGACATGATAAAATTCAAAAAAAGAGGATATAGGGAAAAGTTATTTTTTGAAAAAAAATGACAAAAAACTGAATCAAAGGAATCTTCCCCATCAATTATAATTTACTTCATGCTAATCCAACAAATGCCAAGGAAAAACTGGCCCATCCAAAGAATCCAAACCAAGTCAATCAAACCTTTATAGAGAATAATTTCTCAACAAAGAGACGTTTATTACAATTTACAAAATATTAGTAAGGTGGACCAAAAACCAATTCCTATCTTTTTTCAAAATTTTGAAATTGCTAGTCTCACAACCAACATTCTACCATGGAAAATAAAAACTTTATTCCCCATCAACATTTTAAGTCATTCCATGATCAGGCAATTCTGAACCATCAAACAAGTCATCAAGAAAAATAGGCTACTTTGATAGTTCAAAATTTAGAATTCTTTCACGAAATTTTAACTGTGATTTTAGCCATTTAGTGGCACATTCGTTAGAGTTCTAGGCTTCAAATAAAACAGGAGAAACCAGTACTTATAGTTATAGCAGCCCAACTATATGCATATTAGTTTATTCAGTCAGACCATAAACCAATAGAAAAAAAAACTAAATAAAAAGGATGGTGTTATCTTATCTTCTAAATGTGCAGCAATAAAAAAGTATCCTAGATCCTTCTTCTAACTTGGACTTACTTGCAAGCTTGATCTCTTCCGGACTTGTTGAATCTGTCAAATAAAGTGTCATAAGTGGAGTAAAGTTGCTATTGGCAGGCAGTGCCTTCAATATAGATTCTCGGTAAGCCACAGCAGCAGCAGTAGTGGTAATAGGAGGTTTCAAATTTGGCATCACAATTGCCCTTTCAAAATGACTTGCACTGCAGGCAAAACAAGCATTAGAAAGCAAAATATACAAATCTCAGACTCCAGAGTTGCGAGAGAATATTACCTGTGAGGAACAACGGCTTCAAGAAGGTCACCATCGCGAAGGTGAAGATGCCAATCATCAGGACGCGTTAGAGTAAGCTCCATATCCATAGTAGATGCTTTGCACTTTAATCGCCTAACTCTTCGAATATTAGAAGATGGGAATGGGAGAGGCAATGTCTAATTAAGAAACCAAAAAAAAAAAAAAAAAAAAAAAAAAAGGTCACCATTCGCGAAGGTGAAGATGCCAATCCATCCAGGACGCGTTAGAGTAGCATCCCATATCCATAGTAGATGCTTTGCCACTTTAATCGCCTAACTCTTCGAATATTAGAAGAATGGGAATGGGAGAGGCAATGTCTAATTAAGAAACACCAAAAAAAAAAAAAAAAAAAAAAAAAAAAAAAAAAAAAAAAAAAGATATAAATCTGGATCAAGAAAGTGGACGCCGATAACAGAGAAAGAGACACACCTTGCAAAGAAGAACTGAAGTCTTTATCATTGCCGAATCCAGAAGATTTCTTTAGCTTTTTTTTTTTTTTTTTTATTCGGACAATTTGTCGAACAGGTTGTACGCATTAACTGCACGTATATGTTTTTCACATACCGAGTTATTATTTAGTTCGTCATTACAGTGAACTACAACTCAGTGATTAAATAAAAATCTATCCTTTCCATAATATATATATCCTCTTTAATATGATTGATAAATTATAAATTTCTGAAGAGCATCAGATTCGAAGCTGCCTGTTGTTTGATTCAACATGTGTGTGCCCACTTGTTTCTTTGATTCCTGCCAATCAAATAAAGTATCCCTTCATTGCGGCTTCTGTGAACTGCCGTAGATAAAATTGGGGAAAATTATTATTTAGTCCCTCAGGTTTTATATAATTATCTAAGTAATTGCCGACGTTTAATATAATATATAACTAGTCCCCGACATTTTACTCATTCTAATTAAAAGGTCCTTCCACCCAAAAACTCGGTGTTTTGCCGTTAAAATCAGTTAAAAATAAAGAGAAACATTTTATAAGGACACAATATGCCCTTATTGTACTGTGCATGAAAATAAAGGAGGTTTGACCATATTTTATTCTTACAAAACGCAGAGAAAGGAACAAAAAGGGGAAAACACCCAAACCCAAAAAAGGATTTGCAGGTAACTAGAGAAAGACAACCTACATGTCTTCTTCAAGCACAGACGATGGAGCATGGGAAGGAAGGTATGTGAATATGTATTGCAAGTGTGGGAAAAAAGCATGCATTAGGATCTCAGAGACACAAAAAAATAAAAATCGACTGCATTAGGATCTCAGAGACACAAAAAAAAATTAAAATCGACTGATTATTACTGTAATTGAAATGCATGCAGTCTTTCCTTGGATGGTGAAAAGCTATAGATTCATTCAGATGATCTCAAGAAGCGATTTGGAAGTAAGCGATTTGGAAGTGAGGCAAAGAAGTGTAGCTACTGACTTGTTTGAATTGAAGGAAGAGATGTTGTATCTGAAGAGGGAGATGATGAAAATGTACAGTGAGATTGTGACGATTGGAGGAAAAAAGGAGTGCTTGGAGTTGGAGATTGGCAGCTTGAAGAAGTTAATTTTGCTCTACAAGGGTAATTAAGGATTGTGATTATTTTTTTTTATTATTTTTTATTTTTTTTTGTATTTAGGGTAGTTTGGATAGTTTTTGTAGTGGGATGTGTTAATGTGGTGGGTTAGTTGTTGAATGTTAGTAACTCAGGTGGGCACAGCCAATTTGCAGATGATTTGAATGTAATATACTTTCTGCAATAAAATTTGTACTTATTAACTCCAAAGTCATTTGGTGTTAAGTATAACAACTGCAAAGCAAAAATAATATAGAATATTTTTCTAGTTTTAAATATTTCCAATACAGAAAAGACAAAAGACAAAAACATTAACGTCTACATAATGTGCATTACGAAAAAATATGAATTCAAACTTGGCTCCCATGCAGAAGAGTGGTTACAAATAGTTCCATTGTCATTAGTCAAATGTTTCCAATTCACAAAAGACAAAACATTAGTCAAATGTTTCCAATTCACAAAAGACAAAAATAATATATTTACATAATGTGCATCACAAAAAAGAACTCAAATCAAACTTGGTACACATGCAATGGAGTGTTTTCTATAACACACTTGTGTGTTTGCTGTTAAGAAAAAGACAGACATAAAGAGGAAAAAAAAAAGTGACACATTTGTTCCTGTGCTTGCAAAAAAAAAGTGACACATTTGTTCCTGTGCTTGCTAGAAAATCAAAAGATTCCTTATTCTCCCTAACTGTGCAATATGTTCTCAGCAGCAGCACCTGTTCCTAGAAAATGCACATAGCATGATCTCCATACTACAACATGTGAAGCCCAAAATACTATCTGCAATACCTCAACAACCCAAAAGAACGTCTGCATCATATGAGTCCACAAAAAATTATCTTCAACATTTGAACAAAAAAACCAAGTCTGCAACATATTAACACAAAACAAAAAATCTCTATTCAAGACATAGGAGCTCCTCTCCCTCTCAAACCAGAAGCACCTCTCTCTCTTGTTGCAGCAACACCTCTCCCTCTGGAACCAATAACACCTCTTCCCATAGCAGCATCAGCACCTCTTTCCACAATAACAGCATATCCAGATGATTTTTTTCCTCCTCTTTGCACAAGTTGTTTGTTCCTCTAATAAAACAAATGGTACGTACATTAAAAACAACATACTATAAAACAACATAGTAAGTATTCAAATTGCAAAAGTAAATCTGACCTGAGATATGGCTGGTGGGGCTTGCTCGCATGTTCTTTTATTATGGCCTAGTTGCTTGCATGTCACACACCTAACTGTTCAAGATCTTTTTGCTGTGCTTGGATGAGCTTTGTGCTTGGATGAGCTTCATCTTCCTTTGAAAGTATTTCTCCTTTCTTTTGTTACCAGGACTTCCTTTTAACATTTGAGGCTTTAGGACTGGAAATTCAGTTTGTGGTGGGATGGTGTAATGGAATGAATGAATGACTCCTAGGCCTTTATATACTTCTCTACTGTGAAATTACTCATGACAAAAGTCTTCAAAGATTGAGTCTCATGGATATCCACATTCACTTGAGACCGCATTCAAACTCATTATTGAAGTCAACTTCCTCTTCTGGATTTTGTTTCCATTTCCCTCAGGTGTGTTTCAGATTCCCACTACTCTCATCTTCAGTATCAGGAAAAAAGAAAAGACATAGTCATCATCTGTGGACTGGCTATCAACAACAGTTTCTGTTTCTCCCCCCCTCCCCCTCCAATGGTTGTTCTTGTTGTACCCTATCTTTAAAGCTGTAAGAGGCTACAACTACAATTGCTCTTTTCCCCTTCCTATTGTCCCTATTCACATTTGCCTCATGAACATTTGCCCTGCCTTTACATCGCCCTCTCCCCCTCCCTAACTCGTTTACATAGCCTGAATACTCAGTGTCGTCAGCCAACACAATATCCCACATCTGTGATCCTATCAAAATTTCTGCCCCCTTCCCCCTACCACTACCTTTCCACCTACCAACTACCATTAACCTCTGTTATTTTTCCAAATCCCACAACCTAAATTTTCTTTGCTCAAATAAATGACTCCACATCTCCAACATCCCCCACTTTATCTGCAGTTTGTGACCCAATATTACTCTTCTCTCCCCAGACAACCATTGCCTGGAAACTCCCCATGTAGGCCTGCAATTTTTCATGATGTTAAACCATATTATTCTGCCCACCTGACTTAAACCCATATTATCTGCCACCTGACTATGGAACACATTTGGCATAACAACACTCGGTTCACCTTGCTTCCTAACCAAATTCAGTTCAATATAAGCAGTGTCCTTGAATCTTTCAAACATTAAAGTCACGTCTGCATTGTTCTCTATTCTATAATTTTCAGAACATGTAATATCCACATTCTTATCTTTTATCTTGGAACTTTGCATACGTTTTGTAAGAGAACAATGTAACTCATTCTATCAAGTTGTGCATCATACAAATATACTGTATCCCCTTCATATATGACCCCAATAGTGTAACTTTCAGGCAAAGCCATCAAATTCAAGCTTTCCTACATTGTAATTTAACACATGTGTTACAAAAAAAACATTAATGTCTGCAAAGGGAATTTTCTCTAAATAAAGAGAACGGAGGGAGTAATTCATTAAAAACTAAAACAAAGGGAAAAAAGAGAGAATCCAAATTCAAAAACAGCCCAAAGCACAAAAACCCCACATTCTAATATCTCTCTTCATTAGTTTTAATTTTGTTTATTTTTTTTCTTTCGAATTAACCCTTGAATCCATATATGTAAATATAATCATATATACACTATATAAATATTATTTATATATAATATATATATAAATATATAAGTATATACTACATAATATAATTACCAATGGCTAATACTAAGTTTCACACCTTAGCATATATAGCTTTTTTAATTACATAACCATATATAAAAATTAGTACTATGAGGCACAAGTTATTTGTATAAATTGCTATAAATGTTCACACCTAGCATATATATTTAATTACTACCATATATAAAAATTAGTACTTGAGGCACAATTATTTGTATAATAAGATAGTTTTATAAAAACTAAAACAAAGGGAAAAAAAAAGAGAGAGAACCCAAAGTCGACAACAGTCCAAAGCACAAAAACCGCACATTTTAATGTCTCTTTTTATTGGTTTTGATTTTGTGTTCATTTTTGTTGTTCTTTCAAATTAACCCTTGAATCATATATGTAAATAAACTCACACACACGCGCACACACACACACACATATATATAGCTATAAATGTTCACACCTAGCATATTTATTTAATTACTACCATATATAAAAGTTAGTACCTATGCCATAATTTTTTGTATAATGAGATAGTTTTATTAGGGAGTAGTGGAAGAGAACAGAGGGTGTAATTCATTAAAAACTAAAACAAAGGGAAAAAAAAAAAGAGAGAGAACCCAAAGTCGACAACAGCCCAAAGCACAAAAACCCCACATTCTAATATCTCTCTTTATTGGTTTTGATTTTGTGTTCATTTTTATTTTTCTTTCGAATTAACCCTTGAATCCATATATGCAAATAAACTCATATATATATTACTATAAATGGTCACAACTAGCATATATATTTAATTACTACCATATATAAAAATTAGTACCTATGACATAATTCTTTGTATGATAAGGTAGTTTTATTAGAGACTAGTGGAAGAGAAAATGGATTTTTCAATTGCTAGTGGTAGTGGCGTTGTTGCTTCTAGTGACGAACAAGAAGCATCTAATAACAGTAGAAAGAAAAGAAAAAGCATATTTTCGCCATTCTACCTGCCAAATACAATAACTTGATGCGTATGTAAGATTATCCCTATATATATATGTGTGTGTGTGTGTGTGTGTGTTAATTTTTATATTTTTTTTCTTTATCAATGATTATGTTTGTAAATTATATTTATTATTGTCTTCTTTACTCTTTTTTATTTAGTCTATTTATGTGAAAATTAGTGCAGTTATATATTTTAGATATTCTATTCTATTATAATTATTAAAAAATGAGTAACTATTCACGTGCAATCCATATTCTTAAAAAATAATCCACTAAAAACTAAAATAAAAGGAAATAAAAAAAAAGAAAAAAAATATGCAAAGTCGATGATAGCCTAAAACTGGAAAACTCTACATTCAGATATCTCTCTTTATTAGTTTTGGTTTTGTGTTCTTTTTTGTCTTTATTTCGAATGAGCCCTTTAACCTATATATGTAATTAAACTCATATA